GTGCCATTCCACATTATTACAAATAACTTCATTTCTGGACATTTATGGTTTGATTTCTTTGTATGTATGGATCACTTGGGTTGTTACCAACTTCTGGTGAAAATTTCACGTCATTAGCACTTCTAGTAATATATTTACTGAGAAAAATGTTGACGTGTTCAATACTTATTTTACCTGCTGTATATATGAGAGATTTACTACATAAATAAAAGTAAAAAATTTTCTTCCTGCAAATTCTACCATCTTTTGAATGGTTTTGAGCGTTGTTCAAAAACCTTGTTGTGTGAAATGACAAAAGTATCTTCTCTGCATAAGTTTGTTGAAACACTTACAATCACTGGGAAAAAATGTGTTTAGATTTTTGTATTTAAAAAAATCGGGTCTCTTTTTTTTTAACAAAAAACATTTGCCTGTCATTAGACTCAAGTTCCATAGCCCATTCTGATAACCTAATTTTGAGGCACATCAATTTATTTTAATATTGCTAAAATTTCACAAAGAAGCTGAAAATAAGTTGGTAAAGCTAAAGAAGCAGAGCACTAAACGAAAGCTAAAAAAGGCAAAATAATTCAAACAAGATAACAAAAAGGTTGTCAAAGTAGCAAAACATTAGCTAAAAAAATAAAAGTAATGGCTAGATAAAAGTTTAAAGCTAACTAGCTAAAAGCTAAAACTGCCAAAATGCTAGGTAGAAACAACAAAATGCTAGCAGGAAGTCTGTAGGAAAAAGCTAAAACTAAAAATAGCAAAAGGGTTGCTTGAAGTTTTAATAATACCTATGTTGTTTTAAAAGCTTTAAGTAACAAAAGGCTAGCTAAAAGCTAAACAAATAACAAAATGGTAGCTAAAAGCTAAAAGCTGTATATAAAAAAATAGGGCAAGTATGAGATTTCAAACAGAACACTGTCTTTAAATTTTGTAGAGCTCAATATATTTATATGGAAAAACATTGTAAATAAAATTAAATGGTTTGAAAAAATATAAAAGCTACAAAAACCAAAAGTCATAGAACCCATTTCCTGAAGGAGCTGAATGTCTTGACAGACTAAAACAGCCCAAAGTTTGTAGAAGTACAGTAGTTAGATTGCAATGATGTGAAAAACTGAAAACAAGAAAACATTAGTGTGAATGCTGAATCAGCATTTATACAAATACAGCCCACCTACATTATGCGTTCAGGGTAATCGGCTTATGGGAAATACAAGATTTGATAAAACACAACACGTATTTGAATGAAAACTCCAAACATATTAAGTTTATGAGCAGCAGTGATGCTCACCCACCTGCTCCAGTGCGTACGTGTCTCTGGAGCAGGTGTCGAGGATGTGGACGCCAAGCGAGACGCCCGGCAGCAAAACGTTGTCCACGTTGATCCTGTCAATGGCGAACAGCATGGCCTCCAGCCTCTGGATCCCCCTGTCCTCGTTCACGCGGCCGCACTCCTCCATCCCTCCCCCTTTCTCGTGCACCGGAAACAGGCCGCCCAGCACCAGGTCGCCTTCGATGCGGATCTCGCGGCGTGACTGTGGGGGGTCTGTGAGCAAGGCGCCCTGACACATCATGACCAAGACTAACGAGGGGAGGCGGGACACCATGGTGGGCTCAGGCAGGGCTGGGACGGGTCAGAATGTGAGAGGAGATCTGGGGGTGGAGGTCAGGGGTGAGGGGCGAAGAGCGAGGCGTTTGGATAAAGGCGGGGTTGAGTCGAGCAGCAGGAGCGGGAGCTGGGGTCTGCCCATGAAACAGTCAGGTAGTGGTGAGCTGGGCCACACACGGAGGGGCAAACCATCTGGGCATCGATTCCCCTTGAAGGTAAAAGACAGGATAAACTTAGCATGTTATGGTGCAAATTACAAAGCGGTCAGGGGCCGCTCTGTGATTTTTTTTTTCATGTTTGTTCTCTGAAATGTGGGGTTTGGGGACATTGTTAACAAGGACTCAAAGTCGTTTCTGCTTCACAGAAAAAAAGCCTACAAGGGATATAGATGTGTTTGAGAATGTACTCCACAATTCTTCCTTCTACCCACATCACTCAGTAAACTTTTTATTGTGTGTGTGTGTGTGTGTGGGTGTGTGTGTGTGTGTGTGTGTGTGTGTGTGTGTGTGTGTGTGTGTTACATGTCTGGCAGATTGCTTTCTCCCTCCTCTTTCTCTCTTCTCTCTTTTCAGGTTCAGTTTGCAGGCTGGAGCCAATTTGGATCTTTAAAAGCCGATTGGATGGAAAAGTTTTGAACAGACCAACCAGGGCTCCACCACACCCTATTTAAGAAGCTCACCTGGAGGTCTGGGCTGGCTTCTTCTCCTCCCTGCTGCAGCTTCTGCTGCTGCTGCTGCTGCTGCTGCTGCTGCTGCTGCTAATGCTCCATTGTTTAAAGGTTTGTGGTGGGAGTTAAGAGAACTAGGTAAGTTTGGGGTACCCTGTACATTTTTCATCACATAGGTAATTTTATGTTAAAAACACTGGGTAAGTAGGTTGGTGCCACCCCATGTAATGTTTTGGTGAGACCCTTTTTTAAAGAGAAGTTTAGCAGGGTGTTTTTTCTTTCATTGTTTTCTATTTAGACCAGATTGTAGACAGGCCCTGTTTTGTTGTGCTTGTTTCTTTTGTTTGGCACCACACCTAATGGTCCCTTTCTCCCCCACAGTTTGTGCAGCCTTTTTGGAGAAGAATAAAGAAAATAAAACTTTTTTAAGGCGTAAAAACAGCGTAACTGTGTGTGTGTGTGTGTGTGTGTGTGTGTGTGTGTGTGTGTGTGTGTGTGTGTGTGTGTATATATATATCCTTATTG